AACAACCCCAGTTCCCTCAGCTGCTCCTCATAAGACTTGTGCTCCAGACCCCTCACCAGCTTCATTGCCCTTCTCTGGACACGCTCCAGCACCTCAACATCCTTCTTGTAGTGAGGGGCCCAAAAGTGAACACAGTATTCAAGGTGCGGCCTCACCAGGGCCGAGTACGGGGTACAATCACTTCCCTACTCCTGCTGGCCACACTATTTCTGACAGTCAAAACACTCCCTAACATACAGAGCCACCCCACCGCCTCTCCTTCCTTGCCTATTCCTTCTGAAGAGCTTATAGCCATCCAAGTTCTGCGAGTCATCCCACCATCTTTCTGTGACTGCAACTATATCATAGTTTTCTTGCTGCACAATGGCTTCCAGCTCCTCCTGTTTGTTGCCCATGCTGCATGCATTGGTGTAGATGCACTTGAGCTGGGCTATTGATCCCGACACCTTTTTGGTGGAGAACACTATTTGTCCTCCTGATCCCTTAACTAGTCGTCCCAAAGGCGCTGAAGTGTCTCTTGACTGCCCTTGCACTTCTCGTTGCAGCTTCATCGCTGCCTACCTGAAAAATCAATAATGGATAGTAATCTGAACATACATCACTACTTAGCCTGTGCACCATCTGTAGGTAGTCTTCATTTGAGCCATGTCTAGAATTATCAGCATGATGATTAGCTGAATTTCCAGACAACTGACTTGAAACTTTATTTTCATGGAGATTCCTTATCCCAGCTGTGACAATGGGACTGGATACTGAAGCTGAAATACAAAAAAATATAAATAACTATACTCATATATTCACACAGTTGTTAACTTTAAGAGATTTCACAGAAAACACCATAACAGTGGATGAGTTGGATGCAAGAGGTCTGGAATCTGAACAAGAATCCAACTGTCTTGATTGAATCCTTTTGCCACAAATACCTTGAATAAAATTATATATCTAAGATTTGAATTTTCAAGAGGATTTAAAACCTAAATTCCATGTAGACATTAGTCAAGCTTCTCTCCACATCTATTCTAATTACAGTCAGTATTATATTCTTATAGGTTACAGAAAACTTTATTTTCCTCTATATAATTTGTATTCACTACCTTTAGTAACTTCCAAGGTATTAATGAGATACACAACATTACATACAGAACAACTATTTAAATTCTAAGCACATTGCTAAACTTTAAGAACAGATGGTTTAAAAGAATCCAGTGAGAATTCTACTTACCACAAAAAAAAAAAAAAAAACCTAGATACTTAACTGTTCATGTTGTCTAAGGTTGTTTTTAGAAAAGGGAAGAACAAAGAAATCCATTCATTCTCTGAAGGTCATCTTTGCCAGATACTGCATACCTTGAGCATAATTCTATCCAACTTAGTCTAGTCTACACTACAAAGGTTTGGTAAGGCTAAATAAGCTGGCAGCAAAACTTACATTACACTGGCAAAAATTAGGTTTTCGCTAGTAAAGATAAATGATCGCAATAGCTAACAAATAAAAGTTTTTGGTTTGTTTTGATTTTTCTATTGTCATGTATAAGTGACAACTATGCAAAATGGGTGTACATAGGAGAGGAGCAGTGTAACATGAACATGTGTTTTACTGTTTTACTATTTCTTCTCTCTCTCTCTCTCTTTTTTTTTTTTTAAATAAAAGTATATACTACCACGATGTACAGTCAGGAAAGCAAAGCTTAAACATACACAAAAATTTCCCTATCAACTCAAAGATTTTTCTCCTTCAAAGAAATTAGAGCGCTATGAAACATGCACATGAAGGTAAAGCTGACATGAGACAGGAGAATAAAATTAACATCACAGACTTACCTTGCTGCATCTGAGGATGTGGTGTATAATTTGGAGGATGTGAATATGGCATGTATCCTGCAGGACTTTGAGGAGCATATGGACTAGGCACTGGACTATTCTGTTGTGCCAAAAATCTGTTACCAGAACTTGTCTGTGGTGGCACAAACCGGCTAAAAATAAAATAAAAAATGTTTTAAAATCTTGGAAAAGGAAATCTAGACAAATTTATTATTTCTTTTGGAATATTATACCTTTGGAACATTATAACTTCTGTAAGAGACAAAATTCCAGCACAATCAAGAAACCCCTTCAAAAGCATTATTTTAAGCTATTGATACCTTCCCAACTTCAATTATTACTTAAGAGTGAGCCACAGTAAAGAATAGAATAAAAAGCATTCATAAGACCTCCACCTAGAGAAAGGAAACAATGACACAAATATTTATCAAAATAAGATCTGCAGAGCTACTAAAACAAGAAATGCAATTTCTAAAAGTTAGTCCTAGAAGTTTGAATGAAAGTGACAGCTAAGGTTTAATTATCATATAACAACTAGCTCGCTAGTATTAACAAGGAGCCATCTACTCTAAATATGATTTTTCCAGTAAGATTTCAAAGAACTTAATCTAACAGAACTATACTGCCAAGATATAGGAATGTGATAGGCAGTTAGTTAGGTAGAACCTGACCCAAAGTCCACTGAATACAACTTATTCTTTCACTGGCTTTATCTTAGACTCATCCTAAAGATAGGAAGCCATAAAAGTAAAATAGGCTTGTGACAATAATACATGTACTTTATAACTTACATTCTTATATGAACTTTTCAAAATAAAAATAAACCAAATAAATACTTCAGAAAGTACAATACATGCTTTCACAACCCTCAGTTCTAGATAGCAACTCTATGAAGGTAAGTTTTCATAGAAAGAAATAGCAAAGTATATAACACAAAGATTTTGCAAGGATTTCGAGAAGACTTAGTACATTGTAATATTCACAATTAAAAAAACCCAAACTTCTTCAATATCACTTTTAGATATAAAAGTAAAAACGTGTACAGGTTTTTGTGCAGGTACAGAGCATTTCATTTGCCAAAACAATTACACTAAGTTGAAGTTAAATAAGTTTATTTTAATAATGATATCTAAAAACTGGAGATGAAATCTGTTATAGCCCAGTAACTGGGTTGAAACTACATGCAGAACTCTTTCCTCTAGTCCAGAGTACTTTATTATATTAACAAAGGCCTGGTGTCATGGTTTATTATAGTTACATGTTACTTGCTGACACTCAAAGTTTGAAAAAGAACCAGAAAGTTGATGAGTAAGATGCTGGAAGACTGGCCAAACTACTGGGCCTATCCTCTGAGCAGCCTTTTGTATAACTGTTACAGCAGTACTCCATGCTTTTACAAGCCTTCTTTCCCACCCTCCTGTCACACTGGTCCTGTTACGCATGCCGGAACACACGGCCTCTTCTCTCCTATCCTCCTGCCACCAGTCTCAGCCTCTGCCACAGGTAGAGAACAGCTGGAGGGGTGGCAGGAGGCAGGGGGATTCCTTAAGCAGGAAAGAAAGTTTGCCAAAATTATGGGAGGGAGAGAGTACAGGGAATCATGACTAGTCAGAATACAAAGATTAACTCACTAACAAAAAGATGTTTCTTTGCCAGCTGAAGAAACTCACCCTGCTGTCAGACAAATGCAAAATTTGTCCTGACACTGATCATCTTCCTTTCACATACTTGCAACAAGAATTGACTGTCACTGTAAGAAGAATTTGCAGTTCGCTGCCCCTCCCACCCCATTTAAAAGAAAGCATTACCTGGAAGGGCTATGTGAGATAGTGGTTTGTTGATAATTGGAAGATGCAGGACTACCTCGCATGGAATTCTGAGAAATATTAAACTGTGACATCATCATGCCTATTAAGAAGAAGATAGCAGCATTACTTTACATGCATTTCCTTTTTAATCAATGAATCAATCTCATTTCAAAAATTATTATATACAGAGATTAATAAACTTTACAGACATTAACATCTTTTACCTACAACTGTTAGAAAATATTAAAAAAAGATCGATTCCATGTAAGATGTCCATTTTACACCATGACATAAAAAGAGTTACCTAAAGCAGTATTAATTCAATTATAAATATCAACTGTAGTTCCTTCCTCTGTTCCTTAGCCAAAAACCTGCTAGGAAATAAAAACATTTTATAACAGGATGTATACTCTGCTCCCCAGACTGGTGTGTACAGTACTCATTGTGCCAATAAGTAAAAGATTTGGAAACTTCACAACAAATCAGAAGAACACAGAAAACATATCTCCCATTCATAGAATAAGTACAGCAAACAATCATCTCAGGCTGAACAGTGCAAGATGTTCTCTCTGCTCCCATAATGCTTTAGTGCTTCCTTTCTACCCAAGGACAAAAGCTTTCTATTCTACCTCCACCACGCTTATAAGGAATGTTAACAAAGAAGGTGCTGAAATATTTTCAATTGCAAAGAACCACCAATATCCCGCCTGTAGATTCCTACAGTCATGCTTTGGAAATTCAGGAGTTGTACTAGATGGCAAGCCACAAGTACCAATGTGCTTGAAACTCACTCGCATCTTTATTAGGGAGAATTTAAGACTTTTATTTCCTCTCTTCGATACAGATATAAAGAATTTCCTAACCACATGACACTGGAAGTTGAAGTGGTGCAGGTACACAAAAACTTATATGACTTTTAACCAGGTGATTTTAATGACAGAATTGAATGTCTTTGCAGCTAAAACAGCATCAGAATTCATGTGCACACTGCAGCTTGGGAAGGCACAGCAAGTGATCCACAGCTGTGAGTAAAAGCACATCAGTAATGCAAATATTTTAAACCAAAGGTTAGATAGAAGGCTGACAGTAGTCCCCAATCCAGAGTGTTTGGGAAGACATCAATCCTTGAATTAGTATCACCAACTTCAATTACTGCAATATTCACACAAGCCCTGTCACCCTCTTTTTTCTTCCCCTCTCCCCAGCAGAGAAGAGATGGGATAATCCCCCAGGAATGCAGCCAGTTACTACCTCCCAGTAGGTACGAAGTGCTGCATTCCAAGTACATTAGCACAGGCAAACTAGCCCAGAGCAGGAGTGAAAGTTCCATGTTGTGCTAAAAAAAAAAAAAAAAATCCGAGACCTCCATACTTCAATACAGAGGACATTTCATTGTCCCAAGTAACAGAAGGGGACTCCTCAACTCCTGCAAAATTTGTTTAAATGGACACCGGTTGCCTCACACAGAGGCAAGTGAGGAGGAAACTCCAAGGGGTTTGTGTTGGAGGCAGCACCCAGCATTGCCCACTGCCCGCTCACCTCTCATAGCCACTCTCACCACAGCTAGGTAGTAGTTAGTCAAACTACTAATCCTTAACATTCATGTACAGAAAGCTGACAGAATGTGCCCATATGAGTATGAACTATACAGACAAAGTTTCATTTTATGCTTACAGCAAAGACTGCACTTTTAAAATACTTTAAAAAAATATATCTATTTGTTTTCTCCTCCCTAAATTTAAAACACATTTTGAACCACAGATGCAGTAGTTTTTGGTTTAAAAGAATGATGGAAAATATATAAATGAATTATTTTTTTAATGCCATTTAAAAAACCCTGAAACTTATTCTGTGACAAACAGTTCTCACCTCTCTATCTCTGTTGGGGGGAGCCAACATGGGGGGGACAATCTAGAGAACTTAAACAAACAAACAAAACCAACACAACCCCTCCTCACCCCCCCCCCCAAAAAAAAACCCCAAAACCCCAAACAACCAACCACAAGAACAACAACAAAAAACCACCACCACAACAGTGTCTCCAAAGTTTCCAGACAGATAACAAGTCTGCCTAGTAAGGATGTAATGAGGAAGGAGTAAAAATAAGCCCCAAACGTTTAGTCTAAAAAGGAGCTGAAATTAGTCCGTGGCCATTAACACTAAAATATCTTCTTATACATTTTTTTACATTGTTGTCATATCACTAAGTAGCAATTTATGGCTCCACTGTGCATTTCCATACCTTAAAATACTTCAGAATTTCTTTTAAATGCAACTTTAATTTTGATTGTTGGTAATGTTCAGTTTTGAGAAAACATCATCCTAGTAATAACATTCCTAGAATGAGTTTCCTTAACACATAGTCCCAGTCTTATTTTTTTTTGCTTGGAAAAAAGTGATATGCATAAATCCATTTTAGCACTCCTACTAAATGCAAAAGAATGCACTACGTAAAAACACAGCTCAAGATCACAGAAAAGAATTGTATGATTAAACTGTATTACAGCATCATGCACGCTTAAGCTAGGACTGCTCACCAAGAGGTGATTTTTCAGTTAAATATACGCTCTTATTGAAAGTGTACGTCTACAAAGTTTTTCCCTTTTACAGGCACATGTGCACTTGAGTTCTTGTATAAATGAAAAAAATTATCTAAGTAATTGACGTTTATGGAAAGATGCATAAGATTTTAATCGTCAAAAAAGCACACGTTGTGGTAAATAAAGTGAATTTTAAGTCCTTTCTGCACCCTAAGCTATGCTATGAATACTAACCTACTGCAATACATTATTTTAGCTGATCTTCCAACACATATCTGCTGAAAGGCAAAGCCAAAGTGTTGAGAGGGAAAAGCGAAAAAAATTATTATGAAAAATTAAACTAAATAATATCTCAATTTTAAATAAATAATTATAAAGAAATCCACTTCACTCATACACTATAAGATGCAAGACAGATGTAGTTGAAAGATGGCACCAAGAACTTCCTCTGTCATCTGATGAAAAAGGTCTAAAATAAAATTCACATGCTGCCCTTGTACATAGTTAGGCCTGATGCCGTATGGTGACGTGACTCAGTCTGTTCAGACAACCTAGTAATAGAAAACAGTCTGAAAAATCTAACTAAAAATCTAATCTGTATGAAGACTGTTTCAACAATGGGACTATTATCAAAAGACAGGGAAGAAGAGTTTGAACACTGCTGCTACATTACCTGAAACAAAATATGCCAGCAATTTTTTGGGGGTGGAGGTGGAGGGGAGGGGTGGGTGAGCACCCAGGACACAAAGCAAAAAAAGTGTCCACATAATACAATCTTTCTTGCACTATTTGTTTATCATAACTAAAACCAATTCTCGCTCTAAACTTAGTGTTGAGCTACAAATAAATATGACCTTGGAAAAAAACATCAGCACAGAATTCTGCTTGTGCTTTACCTTATATTCACAAGTATTCAAAACATAGTATTTAGCTTTCTGAAGATGCCTTTATTTCCTGACAAATTGTACTGAACCAAGAATTTTATTCCACGTTTAATGTAATTCTTTATCCAGGTGGTCCTTCTGTTCTTGCGTTAGAAAAAAAGGCTGGGAGAAATTAGAGTTCAGTTTGTCCATACTAACACTGGAACTGACACTCAAGGGATCATGGTGCAGAGGCCCACCCCAGGCTGAGTAAATAGACAGGGGGCCCCCACTGCCTTTGTTCCTTCTCAATTCTGTGCATTACAAATATTGGGTCAGAGTACCCAGCACTGACTTCACCACATGCTGGACTCAACAGAAGGCAGAAGGACAATATTCAGAAGAAAGACAGTAAGGAAAGCAGAAGCAATGAAATACTAGAAAAGAGCCTAAATTTCATTCTTCTAGCTGGCAAAATGCATTACATAAGATCTCTAGCAAATCCCCAATTGTTCTACAAATCATGACTCTACAGAGATTACAAAAATCTGTTCAGAAAGCAGAAGAAAACCCAAACTTTGCTGCCAGAACACATCAGTATAGCCTCCTTCGGCTTTGGAGATCTGAATGGGATGTATTAACAGCTAAGGTGGCTACCACAGTTTGCCAGCATCTAGCTTAAAGATTAAAAGCAAAGCTTTATCCTCATACTGTGAAAACTCTGGAAATTCTCCTACTCATTTCACAGTTTAGTATTTAAAGAAAATATTTCAGGTCCAAATGAAAGAGTCTCCAGATATACAAGTAGAATCTGTCTGATTAATTCTTTGCTTGGTCTCTCCCCTTCTCCATCTTTGCTATCCAGCAGTATATCTCACTAAACCTCAGAAAAGAATTAGCTGTTAAAACAGTAAAATCTGTAGGACATCACAAATTGCTGAGAAGAGGAACAGCAGGGAAGAGCTGTTAAGTATGGTTCATTCAACCTTATTCCTTACCCCAAAACTATTAAGAACTACCACTACAATGATACACTATAATCATACAGATTTTCAGTAAGATCAAGGCATATTTTCCCAACTTCAATTATTTACCAAGACAAATATATGAACCTAGTCATAAAGAAAATCAAATAAAATTACTTTAAAATAAAATCCAATCACTCATCCTAGAAATTAAACTTTGTAGTGAAATTAAACATTATTTTTTACAAAATTCCCGGTAGAGTTTACTTCCATGCTTATACCAATACAATCACTCCTTAGAAGATGTCAAGATATATAGCTTTATATCACTATCAAATATAAGGCAAGGCATAAATATTGCAGTTGTGTTCCATATATGGAGTTAGTATCAGTCCCCTAAACTTACAGAACAACATAAAACACGATCAATAAATAATGAAAAATCCTTACCGCTTTGTACTCCATATCTGTTTTGCATGCTTTTCTCCCTGAAAACATTAGGATTCCTTGCCAGGATAGCCTGCAGCAAGACTGGTATATCTCCCTCTGGATCATCACTGCCAAGGTTATCTTTCAATTCTCTGGAATTGTGAAAGTAAGCAAATAAAGTGGCAAATGCATTTTCAAATATAAGAAACTAGGAGTCAAGTTTAAAAAAAAACAAAAAAAACATCAAACCAACCAACCAACCAACCAACCAATTTACTGTCAAAATACAGACAAAAACAAGTCTGCAAAGCACTGTTCCCTGCCTCTATTTTTTTTTTCCTCTCTTGTTTAAGGAATGGAAGAAGAGGTATTCCTACTAGCCTTCGAAATTATTTTCTGTTAATAAGCACTTATATATACATGGTTGTCAGTTTCAGACTATTATAAAAAGTTTCTTATGCCTACTTTTGTATTGTGATCTTCTCCATAAAAGAACGCTTTGGCATAACATCAAGAAAGTATTATTGTAGGAGTGAAAATATGTGTGAATGTATAAACATTCAGGTTGCAGCCCGACACTTTGAGAATCTTTTATTTTAAAAAAGAAGATTGGCATATCTTTGACATCACAGGATTCCCTTCAAACCATCAAAAATGTAATGGATTTTCTATAAATGCATATGTGCTTTCACTTATTGTTTGCTTTGAGGACTTTTAAAAGCTACTTCCATTTGTTCAAAATAATTGATTGGAACATGCAGGAAAAAGGGCTGTCAACATAAGACAATTCAAAGGACACCAGGAAAAAATGAAAAAACAAAATATATATTAACAAAAAGAGAATATGTTAGCATACTTGCTGGTTCAATACTTAAATTATTTAAGTTTAACACCTAATCAGAACTGACATGGGTCTTACATGAGTGTCTCAAAAAAGTATCTTTTTGGTGTAATACTGGGTATATAATTTGTCTACATGCATTATTAACTGAAGTGGGACACAAGTGACTATTGCACAATCAATACCATAAAGTTTGCACTCCTAACTAGCAAGAATGGAACAAGCAGCAGATCTATTATTTTTTTTAAAAAAATAGTTATGCATAAGTGCTGTTGGACAATTACTAACATTCTGATTGACTGAAACAATTGACTCCCATACAGCAGTAATCTGCTAAACTAGCCTAATAAAAAACCTGCACGTTCTAACTTTCAGATTCTCACAACACCCTTCTCAATTCAGTTCATTTTAATTTCAAGGAATAAGGATGGTGACCTGATATAGTTGAAGTTCAAAATACATACATGTGATCTGTTGACACCTGATTGAGACTGTGGACAAGCTGTGAAACCAGATTTTCATCCCTGCAAGCCAGAAGGCAGTTCACCTCTTCAGCTATCCGCCCATTGAAAAGAAGGCTTTTTGTTGTTGTAGCAGGTAAAGGTGATGGAAGAGGCAGCTGGTTCAAAACTGTTATCAGAAAACAGAAAGGAGTTCAGAATCGTTTCATGAAACACAAGCATACAAAGATGGACACCTTCTTACTCCCTCATGTGATTAAGAAAGAAAACCTGACAACTACATTTGAAATATAGGGAAGATTTCTGGATTTTTTTTTTTAATCATGAACACACACACACAAAGGCTGGACTCTGTTTTAAACAAAGTAATGCAGTCAAGTCCATAAAAGTTATATTACTATATTATTGTAAATATTTAACTGTGCTAAGGCAAGTATTATGAATAAAAACATACTTTTAAACATTCCAGAATATTAAGCTATTTAATGTTATGGCAGCTTTCTCTTGGAGCTGAAAGCATTGAAGGAAAGAAATGCAAAATCCTTTTAGCTGCATGCAGTACTATAAGTGCACTGATCATATACTGTAAGTTTTCTACTCTGTCCATCATATTTAATTAGTGTTCCCACTTTGTATAGTGAGGGTAGATAAAAACAAAAAAAAAAGAACAAAGAAAAAACCCTAAACAACCCAACAACCAATTTAAGTCACTAATGAAATTATCAGTTTTTTCTTCTCCTGTTGTATTCATTTTTATGTAAGTAATCTTCTCAAGAAAAGGCTAGTATCGTTGGTTGGAATGATGACTAAAATGTCAATTCAGTCAATATACCTATTCACATATATTGGTAAAAAGATTTGTTTAGTGAAAACACCTATCACAATATTTCAATCAGATTATAAACGAGCATACTATACTTTCAGAGGGTATTCTTAGGTCTACAGGCATAACAAGGAAGTGTACCAAATAAGAAGCCTTGACCAGATGATTTGGCAGGGCTACAGAGACAAGAGTAAGCCAGAAAAGGTCAAAAAGCCTGCTACATAAGAAAGTCACTTTCATGAGTCCATGAAAACAAGCTGACTCTGACTTCAAGTTCCCAGGCTGATTACAATAGAAATAGCTTCAGAAAAAAACAACTGTGAAATATACTCTTTTGGCTCTTTTATATTTTGAAATTGGGGGTTTTTTTCCCCCCTATACAATGTATATAATTACTTTATTTAGAAATAAACTGCAATTCAAATAAAAGACTATAATATATTAAAATAGCTAGCTTTCATTACTTGCATTAGATTACCTTGAATGTGCCTTGAAACTTGGAAAAATTACCAAGATCAGCAAAACATATTTATTAAAACAGTATAAATTCAGCTAGTTAACTGAGCCTAGTCTATTGCCTCTAGTCATCACGTCCTCCATGTTTTTAGGGCAACAGGACTTGTCCATTCCAGTACCTTCTTTTCACACAGAGAGAAATAAGGTGAAGCAGTGACAAGCTCTCTTTCATCTACTCCCGAGTTTCTAAACATTAGATAAATACAACAGATAAAGAAGCAAATGCACCTAACACAAGGGCTAATCCCACCAAAGGTAGTTCAATGTTTCAAGAAACTCTTGCACCAGGAGTCTGACCAATGACTTCTACCAATTAAGTATTTTGACCTCTTTAGAACCTTACCTGCAAATACTTAGGGCTGGAAAACCAACCTAGCCCAGAAACTTATGATTTGCATCCTGATGGCCCATTATTAGACACAGATAATGACAGATATATATACACATATAAATATATAAGCAGCATCTTCTAATTTGATATTTCAGGATATCAGAAAGACATGAAGAAGTGGGTTTTTTCCCCCTCTAATACATCTGCTTTTTTTACTGTTAGCAATTAAATTCAATTGCTGGGTATATACTTTCAGTGTCTCTTGGAAAGTCTCCAAATTTCAACAGTATAATAATAAAAACAAGAGCTCAGAAGAAGCACTTGGGTCACTGAGTCCAATTATCCTCAGACAACCAAGCTATAAACTCTTACTTATGCTTTATAAACAAGATGCATCTTTGTCCCAACTTCTCTTATTGGAATGGTTGTTCTAGGACCTCATTACGGTAATGATAAATCTCCTCTTAGTTTCCACTAGAAACTTATTTTTGGCCAGATTATAATCATCTGGTTTTGTGCCAGTATCAGCTTTTAATGTAAATAGTTCTTTTCCTTTCCTTGAATTTTGTCTTCCTGATGTATTTAAAGACAGCACACACACCTCATCTGCTCCTTTTGTAGGCTGAACAGCCAAGAAAGAAGCCTCATAGGTTCAGCTGCTTATTACCATTCTAGCAGCCATTCTTTGCACCTGTTAATTAGAGCAACATTTGTGTACTTTGTCCAAAACTAAGGAACTAGGTTTCAAGTATATTCAGCATATTCCACAAGTCTCTCTAGCTGAACATCAATCTTCTCTCTCTCTCTTCAGTGAAGATGATGAGATGTATATTTTAGATAAGTGTTTTATCATTTATATGTTGTTCTTTATTTATGAGGTACCCAGATATGTTATTGAATGATATTCCAAACAAACAATGAATTCCTATATTTTATGTTTTAGGTTTACTTAAGGGGTTTTTTTAACCTATATTTCATTTTGTTCCATGTTTAAATTAGCATATTTTGTTTGAATATATTTTTAAAATTCAAGCAATGACAAAATTAACATTTTTAATACCAAATTTGATTTTGAACAGATTTACTTTTAAGAACTTGAAAAATGAAACTATTTTTAGTATTTTGAAAATGCAGGTATTTACTGGAGAGGTAGAAGGGAACATAGCAAAGACAAAAAAAAAGAAGAGTACTTACGGTCTGTAAGACTAGCAATCCCTGCAAGAGTAGTGATGGGAACATGAGGCATATCCCCATTCATCCTGAAGTTCTGGGATGGTAGCGCCTACACAGATATTTTAGTTCAGGTGCCAGCTATCATTACTTCCCATCTCCCAAGCACTAAAACAAGCAAACAAAACACACATACACAAAAAAAAACAAACCATAAAACCAAATTAAAATTCTCGTTTTACTTAAAAAAATTTTAAATTCAATAACATAAATGAAACACAGACCATAACCTCAGCTGCATAATAAGTAAATTTTGTCAAAAGTGGGTAGAACAATGTAGAATTTAAATATCAAATGGCATTAAGCAATCAAAAGGCAAGCTTTTGGTCTCAGCAGCAGAGCCCTTCACAAAAAAGATGCAAGATAAGGCAATCAAAAGAAAATTTTCTCAGGTTATACAGTACCAACTCAAAAACTGGTAACAAAACTTCCACTGGTTCATACTGCAGTGAACAGCACTGAATCCATAACCAGTTTCAGTAATTAGCTGCTATATTCACTTCCCAGTTTTGGAGAAGGAGATATTTTTCATATAATAAGCTATCAAAAACAAAAGGAATAATTTACAGATGCAAAAGTCAAGTAGTAAACAAAATTACAAAAACAAATCTTAGTATATTTTAAAAGTAGTAGCTATTTAAAAATTGATCTGAAAATATCTCTTCAATATTAAACACTCTCCAGTCAAACTACTACCAGGAACTGTTTCATCCACTTGACAAAAAGAAAAGGTTTAGTCACCACTGAACTAGTTTATTTCCTGTAAAACAGCACAGTTTATATTCAACTACTGAAAAGGAATTTGTTCATCCAGTTTTCACTAACTATAAAGGTCCCAACTGTAAGGAAGTCCACACTATTTAAAAAAACACAACAAAAACCCAAACCACCACCAACCCCTCCCCCCAAAAAATCATTGCAATAATTTCAACTGCAGCTCCAAAACAACAAAAATTTACAAAGATCACACATTACAATCCACTATTGTTATACTAATGAAATGACAAAAATTGAGCATGATATTTTCTGAAGATAAACAAAATCAAGACAATGAATTTGATATACATACATTTACCTATTATAGAAAGGCTCCTGTGTTAAGTTTGTGAAATAGTAAAAAGATTTCTTCTGTCAGCATTTATGTTGTCTACTGAAGATTCTGAAATTGTGATTTGCTTACACTTACTTTACAAGCCAACATTTTTGCAAGTTACATATACAAGACACTTAAACCAAAAGACCACTATCATTTCCTTAGTAATTTTTATATCATTCTATCTTCTGCCACACCAATGACAATATATAGGACACCGCTGCTAATACATATGTACAGATTCCAAGCAAGACAAGGAAACTGAATGTTATAAGTCTTTTTCCCGCTCAAAGTTTTCACAAACAGCTGAAGTTAACTTTTCAACCTTTCCCTATCTACACACAACTGAATTCTTGGGGGGTGGGGGGTGGCACAAGACAGGATGACACAACCAACACACAAAAAAACCCCACCCAACACTGAGGTTAAACAGAACTGACAACAAATTGACTTCCTTTGCTGCACCTGCTACAGGCTCATTCCCACCACTAAATTACATTTATTTATTAAAAATATAGTACATTACAGGTACAGAAATCTAGTTAAGGAAACTGCTACAGATAGACATGCTGTGTGGGTGGTTGTGTTTGGGGTTTTTTTTAATCCAGGAGAAAACAGCCTTCAAACATCCAGAGCAGTTTCAAATACTACTCAATACTGGAGTTTCTTTACCTGAAACAAATACCAATATACACAGAATTTCAGTGGTTTCTTAGTTCCATAAATAAGCAATTCTTAAAGAAAAAAGAAAAGGACCTAACTTTTCCACAATGAGTCTGCAACAGCAAACCGACAAGAACTAACAATCTTTAATTCTAAAAGTTTTCATTGAAGGGTAAGTAGTTAAAGAACACCTTTCACACATAAGTTGTATATACAAGAAAAAGGTCATGTCTGATGATCTCTCCTCTCCTGACTGAAAGTGCATTGAAGCTGATTAAGGCCATGTCACTAGTCAGTATTATTGCAAATCCTGTATGTAACAGAAAAACAACGGGGAGGGGAATCTGTTCACTTTCCTTTCCTGATCGCCTCAGAAAGCTGTAAACATGAGAGGCAGTCACTACTAATGTAAGTTCTTTCCTGGTATTACTGCCACAATAGTTAAATTATACAGATATTCAATGGGAAAAATTCCTCCAAAACCAGACACTTAAATTCGGAAACATCTCCACAGATACATGATAAGAAACACAAACTGGCAAGATCCAGATGTGAGAGTGAAACAAGTGCAGAGAACTAGGAGGGTCAGGGGAAGAGTAAGTTTTCTAAGAGAAGAGTAGAAGAGATTGGTTAGTTTAGCTAACAAAACAAAGGTCAAGAGGGGAGGTAGTTCCTCTCTCTAAGGCAGTCAAAGAAGGTTACAAAGGAAGAATGTTACAGGGCAATGCTAACACAACAATAAATGTGTGCCATGAATGCAAGCAAGAAGAAAATCAGAAACGAGCTTCTCACCATCAGAGCTGCCACTTTCTGGCATAGCCTTCCATTAGGAGTAGTAGCATAGATAAGCAACACCATTACTTTGAAAGATGGATCATACAGATGTTACAGAACAGACAGGATGTGGTTGCCTGCACCAGCTGGGAACAAAGCACAATGATTCAAGAAGTCTGTATCTTAAACTAGGAAGTTTTTGTAAATATAACGATGTGCGTAAACAGAAGAGAGTAAAAATACAAAGAGGGACTGATGGAATTAAATGATGGGGTTAGTTTATACAACAAACAAAATATGAACAAACCACATAGGAATATCTGGGTCCAAACATTGCATCTGTTGTGTTGAGAGCAAAACTGCATCTGTTATACAACTAGCAAACAAGGTGGGATTTAATTCCAGAAGTAGAGACTGAGGTGCAGTGAAACTAGAACGCAAATTTGATGTCACTGAGAACATTACTAAACTCACTCATTAAGGGAATTCAAAATATCAAGTAGTTAGGGAAAAAAAAGTGACAGCTCAAGACAAGATACCAGAGTGGCAGATCTTGGCACAAGGGGGTTTGCCTGAGGCAGGGAAACACCAGGGCAACAGACAGACCCGCCAGGAGCTGGCAGCTCTAGCAGGACACACTGAGGAGACCTGGGAGTTGCCAGAGAAATGGCAGCTCACCCCCACACCTATAAAAAGCAGCCTAGGGAGCACTAGCGACCAGGAACGCTGCCAACAGAGCGTAGTGGCCCTACCAGCTCAATAGTTGAGTTCAGTTGGGGGTCTTCACCCTCTCAGGAGGAGCTTAGCTATAGCATCCACCTGGCGGAAAGCTACGTCCTCTGCAGTTGCCAGAATGGGTATGGCAATCCAGAGAAAGCTCCTATAGAAACACGCAACCATCCAAGTCTCAGGTGGCAGAGAGTGCCAGAGCCTCTCACTGGTAACTGATGGCAGCAGCAAGAACAGCTGTGTGTAGGTGTGACCAGGTGGATGACCTGCTCAGCCTGATTGAGCTACGAGAGGAAGTAGAAAGATTAAAGAGCATCAGGGAGTCTGAGAAAGAGATGGACTCATGGAACCATACTATGTCCTCCCAGAGACAGAAGCGGGAACAGCCACTAGAAAAAAACACAAGATCAAGAGGGTCCTGTAATCTCCCCCTGCCAGGCTGAAGGCAGTAGTTTAAAGGAAAGGAGCAAATGGAGGCAAGTCCATGCTTGGGGCGGCATGTGAACATCCTCCTTGCCCACCTCACCTCCCCAGATCCCTCTGTACAACATGTATGAGGCTCTAGATGTGGAAGGCCAGTCCAGCTACACTGGAGGTGTTCCTAAGGTCAGAAAGGCCTACCCCCTGGATCAAGGGCACCCTCAGCAAGTTTGCAG